TAAGTTGCCCCTGGTCAAAATTGCTTCAGAAAGAAAAATCAAGCATTGAACAGGCGGGGGTAAAGAGGCCAAATGGCAATCTATCAAAAACGCCTTGGTCTAGTCCCAATAATCTTCCAAGCTAAAAATACAACCCAACTATGTGCTCAGGAACAGTCAGTGAGCTATGAAAGTTCTAAATACGTATGCTTTTAGCCCCAGAGAAGTTTGGGAATCCTAATTGCTTAATGGCCCACGGTAGATACAGCTAGGTTATCTTGAGTTGGGTTTCAGGAAATTAGCGTAAATAAAATAACTGAAATAAATAGGCTGACCAACTAGCCATCTTTAGTTAGTTTCCATATGTTTTGACATTAGAGAATATATTGGAAGTTTAACATCAAAGGAAAACTAGCAATAGGTGACAAGTTTCTTTAATACTTCAGGCTACTTCATTTAATTTTAACATTTTAATCTTTACGTTGCCTCACGCCAAATTTAGCTACTTTGCTAAAGCATCTAGTCGGACAGCCAAGCGGCATTGAAAGCAATTGCCGCATCAGAGGTAAAGACCAGAGTCATTTGGGACTACATCAGAACCCTGTCAGACATTGGAGAAAAAATAACCTTGACTGACTACCAGAGCACACAGGGCTTCGGGTAACGAAGAGGCCGATAAATTGACCAAGGAAAAGAAGGACACCTATTGGCCTTGAACCCTTTTGTGGCATATCAAACTGCCAAAAAGGCGGATCCATTAGAAATTGATTAAAACTAAGATCTCTATACAATGTGAATGTAGTCCAGGACAGAGGCATGGAAAAAATTTTATCAAAGGACCATCGCAGAACTAACAGCAGAACTACTTACTAAATCTAGGACGTGCTGGGACTGGAATAATGGTTGGACTGCCTGCTCCGGAGGCATGTGTATAAACTCGGAGTGGAAGAAACAAGCCTGTGAAGATGCTACCAATCCTGGGTGAGGAAAAGACTGATGGATACACTCGGGAGCCCCTGGAAAACATTAGGGTCTGATAAAAAGCTTACGAGGAGCTCTAGATAAAAAAATGGAGACACACAATAGGCCAATACTGGTCGCGGTGCGCAGGTCGTAAACAGCAGTTTTCTATGTAATCTATCTAAAGATTAGCTAATCCAATAAATTTAGAGCGGGTGTAGTTTTGTTCCTGCTCTATTTCTGCCCGGGAATTGGCAACATTGATTTTTTGGGCGCCAATCTAAACTCTTTAACACTAAACTCACGGGATTTTTCGCTAACGTTTAAACAAAATTGCTAAAGGTCGTCTTGCTCTAAGACAAAGTTAGACCGTAAAGGTTTATAATGTTTTGTTATGAATTTATGTAGTTGCATTGAATCGATAAAATTATAAATACTGAAAACCTGTCATATAGAAAAATGTTAACAGAAATCATCGTCTAGTTTTTGAAAATAAATGTATGCAATTCACTTATAATATATTTCTATCGATTAAAACAACAAATTTATAGGTCCTTCCGGGTGAATTGTGCCTACAGAGGGTCGTAGAAGGTGGGAATAAAGTATTCCGTGGAATGGTTTCGGCCCGGAGGAACGTTGTTTCCACAGCGGCGGATGATATTTATTGCACCGGCTACAAATCACTAACCGCCCGGAGGTGGCTATGAATAAAGTAGAGGAGAGGATACCTGGAGCAACAGGCTAGAAAGGCGGACAATATAAAATGTAGATAGGGATAGTCTCCGTAATAGGACACCTGTTATCCACCCTCCCGACGGCCGGGCCGAAATTTCAGCGAGAAGTTTTCCACTTTCCATTTCATTTACTGTATAATTATTTATCAGGTCACACAAATTTTAACCTGAGGCTTTTACTTGTAAAAACCGAAGGCGAGAAGATTCTTTGCGTTACAATCTTGTGCATTGAAACTTTTATAAAATCATTTTATTATTTCACAACTGCATACAAAATGCAACAAGCAAAGTATTTACAATTACATACATATACATATATATTGTAGGCACATTTATATGTCTGGCGTGATTGATTTGAACGGCCAACATCCAATGAAAGTGGTAATAGGTTTTTATAAAGACAAGTATAAAGTACAAAGTACAAGTACAAGACGGAATGGTCGCAAGGCGACTGCGTTTCAGTCTTTAAGAGGGTTCGAAGAAGGTTTGAGCTGGACAGGTTGCGAATTAACGGGTTGTCATGAGAGTTTGGAGTGAAATTTATTGTAGATGGATTGGGCTACGATTGGGACGTAGGGTATTCTGAGATCGGAGTGGATAATTCTGCTGGTGACGTAGAAAGGAGCATCAACTATTGAGCGAAGGATTTTGGATTGTAGGGATTGAAAAGCTTGGCTTATATTGGGTTGTCCGGAAAATAATGCAGGATTTTAAGTTTTCATTAAAAAAAATCTATATAAAATATTCTGTTTACGTTTACAGGATTACTCNGAGAGTATGGGAAATTATTTTGATTAAAGAACATTGCTTTAAAGTAACTAGTTTCTTTTTTTTTGTTTAATACCAAAATCCTGCATTATTTTCCGGACAACCCAATAGTTCAAGTCCGTAGGTCCAAATTAGGGCGTATAAAATAGTGTATAATAGTTTTTTGTTAAGTAACCAGGTAAGTGCTTAGACCTTTAGATAAGAATTCTTTTAAGCATTTTAAACCAGTATGTTGTAATCACTTCGTATTGTCTGTAGATTCAACGTAAGTCTTTTGTCCTAGTAAAGTCCTGGATATCGTATACTATTCGCTGGAGGAATTGAGGTACCGAATAAATATACAGGAGGAAGAGATTAACAATTAAGAGTGAAAACTATGTATTTATTTTTGATTGTTCACCTTGATTCTCCGCGTTCGAATCCAGGTGAAAGCATATGAAGATTGGACGTTACGGATAGAAGTAACAGGATCGTTGTTTGGAGAGAGGATTGCCGTGTCATCGGCGTATGTGAAGGTTGAGATGACATAATGTAACGAGGGATCAGTTATAAAGATGGAGTAAAGTAAGGGAGCAAGTGTGCTTCTTTGGGGGAAGCCGGTGAAATAGAAAAAGTAAAAGAGGAAGAGGGGATTACTTGGAAGTATCGGTTTGTTAGGAAGGATTTGACGATAAAGCAGTATGCCCTTTAGCTTCCACAACAACCAAGCCCTCGTGCCACTCACGATTGAAGACCTGGGATATGTCAAGGGAAACGCCAGGGCAGTATTGTTCAAGCTCGAGTGTCGACAACATGGTGGGATTGCTTACCGCGGAATGCGAATTGGTGATTGGGGATGATATTTAAGGGTTCAATGATGGTGTTTAAAAGGTGAAGAAGGTTTAAAAGTACTTTGCCGATGATAGGGGGAAGGCTGCCGATAGGACGATATGAAGAGGCGAGGTTAGTAGGTTAGGCACCATACGAACGGAGAACATCCAAAGGAGAGGAAAGTAGATGGTTCTAAGAGAATCGTAGTGTAATAAATAGTATTGCTTTTTGAGAAGTTGATGAAGGATATTAGACTGTTCACGAGATCATAGCCAGAACCTTTATCATTAGGAAAATCAATTCAGACCGGACTGACTTCATTGGAAGTAAATGTTTAAGGAGGTATTTAATTCTTCATTAATTTTATCAATAAAGAGTTGATCTGGGTTGTCAGGATGGGGGGTGAATAATGTGGTAAGGTTCTGTGCTAGGAATTGACCTTCCACTTCGTCGGTTTTTGTCCAATTACAGTCAGTGCGTTGAATTGGGTGGGGAATTGGGCTACATTGGGACTAGATATCAGAAAATGCACAATGTATAAATATAATTAATCTTTTTATGTAAAGTATTGGTTGAAATGAAAAAGTTAGTGTCAGGGGCGGGATTCCGAACCGACGACCTTCGGCATGGGCCCAAGGTACTTGGACAACAACCGACGAAGAGAAAGCTCAATTTCTGGCACAGTACCTTTCTACATTATTCTCCCCCTCATCCTGACATCCAAGATCAACACTTTATTCATGAAATTAATGAATTAAATACACCTTCCACTCTCACTCCCTCCTAAGCCGTTCACATCCAAAGAATTCAGTCAGGCTTTAATTGACCTTCCTAAAGAAAAAAGTCCTGGCTATCATCTCGTGAGCACTCTAATATCTTTCAACTTCCCAAAAAGCAATATAAGTTATTACAAAGGTAGTTGGTTCGAATCCCGCTCGTGGCACTAACTTTTTCATTTCAACCAATACCTTACATAAAGATTTGTTAAGTGAAATAAGTTATTTATTCAATCAGACCATGAAATATAATGGACGCATAAAATACTTTTAAGGAAGGGAAGTACAGAGTTGCTAATAATACGTTTTAAACTGGGCATTCAGTAAAAAATTTATTTCATAATAAATATTAATTTTATTTACGATAAATTGTACTTTGCATATATGTGTATTCATGTATAATTTGTTTTGTTTATAAAGATTCTGTTTGCACCATTAAAAAAACTGTTTACAAAGTATGTAGATTGATTCAGGTTTATTTTCTTATTATCTATATATTTTCAATGTGTATGAGTTATTGTAATTAAAATGGGAAATTTCTCATGGGAAATTTCTGGCTGTTTGTCTGTGGGATGAATGGCGATGCAGTGCTGGCAGGTTTATAAATGGAGAGTGTAAACAAAAAATGTCAAGCATTAGTAATGTCGAGGAGGAGAGAAGAGATTAATCTAAAAGCGATGTACGTTGCGCGCCTATTTTAGGGAAATGCGAACCCCTGTGTCATTTCCCTCTGCCCATTATATAAATATCCGACGTGCAAATGACGGGAGGAGCATGAAAGGGGAGGGCACTTCCCAAGGGAAATCCTGGATTCGACCAGCCCTCAGGCGATCCTCTTTCGCCCCACATCTGTCCCGGCCACCCCTACGGACCCCCGGCTACAGTTTTGATCTCAAAAAAAAAAAAGATCAACAATATACGAATAATTACGCTAAAGTGCCCCTTTTAGGTTATTTAATACGTATGTATGTACCTGAATCGTATCGGCCTCCGTCATGCATGAACTGCAACTTACCTGAAAAAGAAAACAAAAATTGTATCGATTTGAACACAAAAGTCGAAATTATATTTAATTTCATAACATCACATTTATTTAATCTGAACGGTAGTGCGGAATTTACCTTTGAATAAATTTGTGAATTTTTCGGATTACACACCAAGTGCTCTGTGGTAAGGTTTAAAAAACAAACAAAAACAAAACACATGGAACGACACAACCAATTTTGTAGACAACAGATTATAATAACAAGAACTTAGAGGAAGAACGGGATGAATCTACATCAATGAATCGAGTTAACTGCAATCATCCGAAATAAATACCTTCGTAAAAACCAAGGTATAAAAATAAATATACATTTTTTAAAAGTTCTAACAACAGCTCGAATGGGGGCGTCGGTGTCCGCATCGGAACAGCGCTCATCACTGTAACGTAAAGTTCCAAAGTTCGAATCCAGCAGCCCTGCATTCGAACCCGACATACTTACAAATTTTTTTTTTTAACAACGGCACTCTGAGGGTTGATATGACCTCTGCTGTTGATAATAGACGTAGACATTCAAATTAGATCTATTATTTTTAAAAAATTTAAAACCAAATTTTAACGTTGGATTTCGTTTGTCCTTTGAAATTTTATAAAATTCGTTAATTAAAAACTCAACAAACAACGCAAAAGAAGTTGAAGCGAATTGAACAACCCGAAAATGATCGAACCTGATTCCATAAGCTATGTTTGTTTGTTGCTCTGTATAAAGGGAAAAAGAGTGAGTGAGAGAGATAGAAATAGAGAGTTAAATAGCTAAATAGATAGGTACAGTGATAAGTAGATGGATGTTCAACAAGAGGGATAAGTGATAGCGATAGATATTGCTACAGAGAGAGATAAAGACAAATAAATATATATTTATTTATTTATTTTATATCACCATCTACCTGCACACATATATGTATGTACTAAGCATACACATACATATATGTAGCATACATATATGTAGATAATGAGCGAGTTTGTGGAAAGGTGGTGAGAAAAATAGATAGAAATAGAATTAGAGATATACAGTTGTATAGATAGAAGGAGATAGATGGACAGAGAGATAAAATGAGAATAGGGTCATACGAGAAAGATGGACAAATAGTGTATGGAAACGAAGAATGGTGGAGTGAGATAGAGAGAGAGAGTGGGTGAGTGAGAGAGATAAGAGATAGATAGATAGAGAGAGAGGGAAGAAAGAGAGGGACGGTGAAAGAGAGAGGGAGGGGAGAGAGAGGAAGAGAGAGAAAGTGAGAGAGAAATATAGAGAGAGAAAGAGAGAGAGAGTGAGAGAGAGAGAAAGAGAGAGAGAGAGGGAGGAGAGAGAGGAAGGGAGAGAGTGAGAGAGAAATATAGAGATAGAGATAGATAGATAGATAGATAGGATGATAGATAGATAGATAGATAGATAGATAGATAGATAGATAGAGATAGAGATAGAGATAGAGATAGAGATAGAGATAGAGATAGAGAGAGAGAGAGATAAAGACAAATAAATATATATTTATTTATTTATTTTATATCACCATCTACCTGCACACATATATGTATGTACTAAGCATACACATACATATATGTAGCATACATATATGTAGATAATGAGCGAGTTTGTGGAAAGGTGGTGAGAAAAATAGATAGAAATAGAATTAGAGATATACAGTTGTATAGATAGAAGGAGATAGATGGACAGAGAGATAAAATGAGAATAGGGTCATACGAGAAAGATGGACAAATAGTGTATGGAAACGAAGAATGGTGGAGTGAGATAGAGAGAGAGAGTGGGTGAGAGAGAGAGAGAGAGAGAGAGAGAGAGAGAGAGAGAGAGAGAGAGAGTGAGTGAACGAGAGGAGAGAAAGGTACTTTAAATTGTTATTCTTATTTTGCCAATTGCAACAAAACGCAACGTCGTTTTATCAAATCTAAATTTTATTAACAAATTAGAAAGCTAGTACGTCTTTCAATGGTGTGTTTGCTTAATTTGTTAATACACATATCTTTGATTCCTTGATAATTATCTGATCGTTTGTTTTGGTTGATTATGTATCAACTGTATTCCATATTGTATATACGTATTTGATACTGCATGTAGTAAAGTGCCTCAGGCCGATTGTGAATTACCCTTGAAACAATTGGAAGCTGGTAAGGGTTTATAAAAGGCCATCCTTTGGTCGCCGGCAGAGGGTGGATTTTCCGAAGGCAAACGCTATTAAATATGTATTATAAGTAAAGGAGTTGCAAAAACGAATTATATCGGAAGGGCATCTTTGCCCTTTAATATTTAAGCGGCTTTTAAGACTACTTATCCGGTAAAGGTACAGAGAATAGAATATAAATAAAAAGAGAGGGAGAGGACGTCATACGGGGAAAAGGGGAAATACGAAGAGCCGAAATATTAAACAGAGAAAAAAAATGAAAAAGAAAATAAACAATTTTCTTGATTTCCACCGGAACACATAATCCGAAGAGGAAATTAAATGTGTACCTAATCCACGGTGTATAGTTGAGTACCGTGATAGCCTCTTGAATGAGAATTAAGTCTAATAAGATAATAGGATTATTAGTTGTGGGAGCTTTGGCAATACATTTTTCTACGCAGAAAATATACCATGATTCAGAATTTATGGAGAATTCAGTACCAAATTTACTTGTATAAATGTCGTATTTTTATGTTATCTATTATGTTTATTTTTAATCGGTTACTTTATGTCGTGTGTCCTTTTATGGATCTGTCTTTTTTATCCGTTTCTTTCACTACCACTATTTTACTTTCTCTATCTTTCTCTCTAACATTAAATAGTGGAAGCGAAATTGATCAACTCGAAAATGATTGAAGCTGATTTCATATAATATGAGTGTTTGTTTCTTGGTTTATAAACTGCGAAAAAGAGAAAAGAGCGAAGGAGAGACAGACATAGATATCTAAATAGGTGAGTATAGCGATAGAGAGATACATAGATAAACAGTTAGGTAGATAGAATGGCATAGGCATACACACACACAGACACACACACACACATATATATATATATATATATATATATATGTAGAAGGCCTATTCGACTGCTGAAGGGCTTCGCTCCAGGACGATTTCCTGGCTCTACAGCTCAATGTGAAGTTTCCTTAAAATGTGCAAAACAAAAATTGACATGTTCCGGAATTTTTGAATTTACTAATGAATGACTGAAGGAAGGAAAACATTTAAAAACCATCTTGTTCGGCGTAAGATTTTGTAAAAAGTGACACCTGTATATACATGTATATATATATATANATATGAGTATGTATGCATTTATATATATAATCTCTCTCTCCCTCTCATATATATATATGAGAGAGAGAGAGAGAGAGAGAGAGAGAGAGAGAGAGTGATGAGTGGCGGTGAGGTGGGAGGAATGGTAGATCGATAGAGATAGGTATAGATAAATATATGGATATATATATGTATATGTATATAAATATATGAATATGTATATATACATATATAAATATATGTTTATATACATAAATATAGAAATATGTATATATTTATGTGTATATATATAAACAATATACAAATAAGAAATTAATTATGTTTAAATTTGTAGGATATTCGGGGAACGGTTAAGATTTTTTAAAATTTGCATTTTAAATTATAAATGTAAATTATTACTTACTTATCCAACCAATATACAATTAATCACGAATGCAAAAGGCCTTTCTCTCTCTCTCTCTCTCTCTCTCTCTCTCTCTCTCTCTCTCTCTCTCTCTCTCTCTCTTTCTTTTGCGCTTTCTATTTCTCTTCTAACTCACTCTCTTCTCTCTCTCTCTCTCTCTCTCTCTCTCTCTCTCTCTCTCTCTCTCTCTCTCTCTCTCTTTCTTTTGCTATGCTTTTCTTCTTCTCCTTCTCACACCCACTCGCCCAACTTTTCTAATCGCCAACTCTTGTCCAAAGATATTATGAGAAATTGTGTGCCATGCCATGTATAAACGTTCGATTGCACTAATAATGCAGGAGGGGAAGTTTTCTCATGGGTAAATTTAAGTGTGTTTTACAGCTTCCGTGTGAGGTACCGCAAACATTTTATGCTAACGTTGTAAATTATGAAGGGCCCTTCGTGTAATGCGCATAGCTTCCTTTGGGGCCGATAGGCGGAAGACGTGCTTTTCCGGTGACAATTTCTAAAGGGAGTCCGCCACCTGTTTCTTCGTGATGTACTCGGACCGAATCCCGTAACGATCCGCCCCCCAACCAGAGGCTCATTACGATCCCGATTGTCATTTCCCCTTTTTTACAAACCCGCGGGACGAGATATTGCATTATTTGTACGATATTGCTGGGGGTTTCAGGATTTTTTTTATTGTTTAGCTAAGATAAATTAGATTTGTGCCCCCCGGGGAAGAAAAGAAAAGGCGTTTCTCTTCCCTGGTTTTAATATTGTATTTACATTTCATCGGTGAATTTTTTTTTCACACTGATGTATCCGCGGTCGGCACAATTGAGAAAACAACAGCCCTCGTAACTAATTTATTACAAAATTTTTCCTTGCGAAAGAATTGTATTAAAAAAACCGTTCAACGCCTGGGGGGTTTAAAGTATCCGTGTACATTTTAATGAAGTCTGGGTTTAAACGAAAAAACACAGCTGAACACAAATGATCATTTTACAACTGCGAACTAAAACGCAAACTCTGAACATATTAGTTTCCGTTTAAAGTAGACTTGTGCCAAGACCACATGAAAATCGACGTTTGTAACTTTCAACAATTTTAAAGATTTTAATGTTTTCATAATTATTCATTAGTAATTATTGCCCCTTTTATTAAGAAGTTCGGCCAAATCAGTATCCCCCAATATATAACAGTTCAAATTACTAAACAGATATCCAGAATTTTTGCTTTTGGTGATCTTGTTTAACTGATACATTTCAACAAATTCTTCATTTATCTAAATATAAAAAAAGCTTGTTTTTATTTATTTTTATTAATCGACATTAAAAATAATTAAAAATA